AATGAGACTTTGCATAAGTCATGTTTAGTATTTAATATATTTATATAAACAAATTTAGATTTTTATTATTATTTAAAAAATTTTTATTTATAACAATAAAACTAATAACAAATAAAATAAATAATATATAAAAACGTGTTGCTCAATAAAAACAGAATGTTATGAACACAATGTATGTAGTTTGTTTAAGCGTAAATATTAATATATGTGTTTTTTGCCCTTACAACCTCCTTAATATATCCAAATAATAATAATTTTTTGTACATATAATTAAGTATTATTTTTATGAATTATTTCTTTAGCAAGAAATTATTAGGAAAATAATTAAATAATAACGTAATGACTAAAAATATTTAAATTCGCGTTGTACTTGTAACAAATTTGGAAAATATTTAATACTCAGGAGAATTTTTTTCTTGCAAAGTTTCTTCCACTCTTGGAAAAGTTTCTTTTTTGCAACATATTTATCTCCTTCTACATAATTGACACACAAATCTTTTATTTTTATACATATAAATTATTTCACATCGAAGTCTTAAATTAGATGAAGCATTAGCACGAGCTATTTATGGCAATTTAGAATGCAGAGCGGTAACTCGCGTTCAAGTGTCTATAGATCGTATAACACTTTGTAATGCAACAGTGGCGGTTCATGTGGATATTAAGCCATAGTAACGCGTATCCCCGGCTATGAGACGTGAAACTTTGCCTACGGTTAATCGAATCAAGCAATCCCGCTCGAGACGCCCGCGCCGAGCCATGCTTTAATTAGTATCCCAACCTCGACCGCTTAATTCACTCGCATTTTGACCTTGGATGCCAAGTCTCTTCGTCTTGCCCTTAACGCGAATACCGTGACTCTCGTTCTCGCATCCCGACAATAAAATTTCCATTAAAAGTGAAATATCCGTTTCTTTTTCTCTTTCTCGAATTCCGCCGTTTTTGATTACGAGACGTAGACGCGGAAAGTAGGTACGCGACTCAGAGGACGATGTAAAAATTTATTCGCTCTCGCCGTACTTATTTCGCCCTTATCTAGACGTCGACGCGGCGGGATAAGTACCGTCGAAAGAAAAGAGGGTAAAAAATAAATAAGAGAAAAAGGAAGAAGGGGTTGCACGGGGAGGAGACGGAAGCACGAAAACGTAAAGAGACCGGATGAAGGTGGAAACGAGGGAGACGAAGTCTCCGGGGAAAACCCGGCGAGCATTAAGACCAGATTGAAAATTGAATTATTAACGAGCGACCTGCCGCCCGGCATGTAAATCATACGGAAATATTACTTTTCTTTTCCGAGGGAAAAATGTGGCTCGAACGCGAGACATCATCCGGATGCAGTTTCGTTTTACTAGCAGTTTTCTTTTCTTTCTTTCATTTTTCCTTTAATCTTGAATTTCTTTATTTTTTTTTCTTTTTCTTTCGACCACTCTTTCACATTGGTTAAACGTTTCTTGTCCAATTTTACGCCACGTCACAAGTTATCGTTCCCCCGAGACCCACTTGCGTAAAATGCAGCGTACAATACGCATATTACGGGTGTTCGCTTATTGTCACATCTAATTTCGCTCGTTGACAAACAATGTTTTGAACGACGTGAATTACCGAAATTACTTATATTTAAGACGATTTTAATAATCTTAAATTTATATAAAATTAATAACAATACAGCATTCACGATTGTCCATTTTTGAAGCTTAGTTTGTTACCTTTTTTACTTTTACTAGAGATAATTCTCATTCTCAATGCATAAACGTAGTTATAAGTGGCTGCAGTTGTAAGAATTGGCCAATCACAGTCGAATATTCTCCTTATATTCAACTGTGATTGGTCAATTCTTACAAATACAACCACTTTTAACTATGCTTACGTAATTGCAGAATGGGCTTTATAGAAAATATTACTGTTGAGGATTGTCATCTCGAATAATATCCTGCGAAATAAACACCCTGTACATACTGTTCGTAGTTCCAGTCCGCTGTTTTATTCACTCCCCGGGACAGCTAATATACCTCGTTTAATTGAATACCAAATATTCCCCCATCAGCACGGCATGATATTTGTATAGAAGAGCATCGCCGATTCGCACGGACGTGATCGTAACTTCTTCCCCCATGCCCTCGGGATAATTTTCGCGAAATTTCTCGAGCATTGTTAGAACGAAGCGAGAATGCAGCAGCACCACTGCGACCCGCTTCCAATATCCGCGAGCGGCACTGACAGATGCGCCTGTACTGCAGCAAACCCCGACTACGAGGCAGTCACGAACGGCTGGTGCGCCAGGCGACACGTTGCAAACGCAGAACGTGGTGAATGGGAGAGTTGGAAAGTTATTCGGGGCGCGTCACCATTACTGCCGGCAACACGCCCCTTTTTGCGCCCAAATCAATTTCTTATAAGAATTCTATGCCGATACTTATTTAATTCGAGACGCTGACCCAGTGCAACTTCTTTAAAGAGAAAATTAGCAAAAAAAATAATTATAATAAAAGATGCATCTTATGCTTCATTGTAACATTTCGTTATATTTTTACATGAAAAGAATGATGCTGCTGAAAGATATAAAATTTTGTTGGATATAACTCTGAAAATAATTTCGGACCATCAAAATAATTTTGTTAGAAACTTAAAAATAATAAGCAATGCTGCAAAAAGTTTGATATTCTATAAAATAAACAACCGATACGAAATTCCAATAAAGTTATTTTTAGATTTATATATCCAGTAAAATTTTAGATCTCTCAGCAAAATATTTCTTTTCAAAGCAATATTTGTGATATTGCTTTGAAAGTACTAAAGAAAGAAAGAATCGCGTATACAATAATGAGCAATGGAGAGAAAATGAATAATATGCAGTTCAACGGGCTCGTATTTACATGTGTCGCTTTATAATATTTAGGGAACTGTTTTTACTTGCCTATTAAGGTACATGAAATTACACAGCTGATAATGGCTTATTGTGATAAAAACAGACGGTGTAATTTATTATTGCGGGAAGAACAAAAGTACTGTACATTCCCCATTGTTGTTCCCATTTCCACAGCACACACGTTGCAATATGTCATAGTCAAAGCCCGGTATTAATGATCGCATACGTACTCAGAGACAATTACACGTGATTTGTTAGGCGACTATAATTTAAACGGTACTACGAATGATACTACAAATATTTTGCGCTTGCAAATGGTTCTGCAATCGATGGCCGATTAACGCGTAACGTTTAAAGCGTACGAGGATAACGCCGCTGGTCTTTGTTGTATTTTTTCGTCGTTTCGGATAAACTGATGAAGAGAGTGTTTGTATTTTGTATTCCGATGTGATCGTAGGCAGTGTAGATCGTGAAAACGAGTTGCAAAAATCTGTCGATGCAGACGGCCTGCGGCAAAGAGGAAAATCAAAAAGTTACACTTTTTACGCATGTCATATTTTTTCGATGACACTCGACTTTCAATCCTTTTCAATCAAAGTTGTTATTTTTATTTACGCGTTTCTATTTATTGCACTACAAGCTTAAAACTCCATTGAAATGCACATACGAAGATTATTAGCATTCTTTTTTAAGTGTTATAGCAATATTATAAGATATTATACGAAATAAAATTGCGCAGTTATATTGATCGAAAGACTTGTTCTGTCATAACTAAAAAATTATAAAATAATAAAACAGAAAAGGAGTACATTATTCCAATAGCAATATTATTTTCAATAGAAACACGTAACACATAGCAACAGTTTCATTACACTCTATTTAAAAATGTAATATTTTTTCACAAGCAATTATGAAATATCACGGGAAATGTTATTTCCAACAAGTCCATCGAGCAAGTTAAAAAGTTAACTTTTAACGTTTAATTAATATATGTATACGTTTTAAAAAATTTAAATTTTGAAAACTAAATAACATTTTAATTCTCCCAATTTAATATTCTATTATAAATTACTCTTTTTATAATTGTGTGAGGTTATTTATCGCAAGACTTACAAGAAATAAGAGTAATTACTAGTAAGTACATCTTAAGATGGTATATGCACGGACGGACAAATAGTTAATGGCTATGTTTACACCGTGCATTTAGGCCACGGCCTATACAATAGACGTCCTTGTTTAATATATAGGATAAACAAGGACGTCTATTGTATAGGCCGTGGCCTAAATGTACAGTGTAAACGTAGCCAGTGAGATTCTGTCGGACTTACTACGTATTTGTGCGTTTCTTGATAAACTATATAAATAGTGAATTGTTGGCTCACGGAAACTAAAAAGAAAAAAAAAGCTGCCATATCGGCAGGAAAGGATCCTTTTCCCCGGCGAATGAAATGCTTTTCCCGCCATAGCAATAGCTCCGGGCAAATATATATATCCGCGTAACTATAGAAATAACGAATGTGTGTATGGTGCATCTATGTAACAAAAATAGGTTCGTAAAAAGTCATCGGTCGGCCGCACGGGAATCGACATTTCCGCTTCCGGCGGATCGGACGACTAACAAACGCGAGTACAAAATGGTCTGTTCTGCTTAATTGAGCGAATAACATGGAAACGATTCGTCAAGCGATATCGCGTAAAGGTATTGCAAAGTGTAAATGGATTACGTACAACTATATGAAATCATTCGGGAGGCGTACAAAGAGAACAAAAATATAGCACAAGTTTTATATATCATACATAATTTTATTCATTGTCAAACTGCGTATATAGTAAAAGTTAAAATATTAACGCACACGCGTGCATGACTAGGTACATTTTACAAATTTATTTTTTTCGCTACACATTCTCTCTATTAAGTCGCAGGTGTGTAACTTGTCTCTAGCGTATAATGGATAGAAAGAGCAAGTAAATATATACACATACAATAAACTCATTTAGATGATCTGGACACTTATAACAAACGAACGTACACTATATTATAGAGAGAAAGTGGCAAAATAACGGTTCACTTGGAATTAATTTCACATTTCATATAATTACAATTAACGTTTTATCGCGATTACGAGGGCACTGTGTCAAGATTGCTTTCACGCATCACACAAGAGTTTTACTGTGAGTTTAAATCCCTGAATAAATAGGCAGACATCACGCTACACTTAATTAGACTCGATGAAATTGGAGGTGTATTAACCTAATTGGGTCACATTCAAGTTTTAATTCAATTTGAATGTTGATTCGAACTCGAATGTTGATTTTCACTTACTATTGTTTTAAGCTGATGACAGAGAACGATATGTAACTGTTGTAATCGTGGACGTCAGGTAAAGCAAAGAAAAACGTATATACGTAAGTCGTGAAAAGCTATTGTGTGGATGGGGTTACGTATATGTTTTTTTCTATGTTATTTTACGTTCACAATTACGATAGTTTACGTCTCGTTCTCTACCTTAATTGAATTACGTTCACACCGGATTGTCGAAGGCAATGATTTATAATGATGCGCATTTCTAGAGTTAACTGACAATGAAACAGCGTGACTTGCGGTTGTACATGATGTACACATGTGATGACTGCTGCATCAGTTTACGTTGACGACTAACACGTACTATTCAGCGGTCGAATCGAGACGATTGTCTATCCTGTGTACCCCAGGTATTGTGAGTATATCCTGGTTGAGCTTCGGAAGCTTCCTCGCGATCCTGGCCATCTGGACTCGCCATTGAATCATCCATGTGTTCTAAAGCACCTATCTTACCCTATCTCTCGCAAGTCCGGAAGATATTCCTCGCATTGAGAAAGCGTCGATCGAGTTTTAGCTTCTTATCGTCCGTTAGTACGGTCGTCGTGTCCGTCCTTGCCACCAAATTATGACTGCTGAAAGATAAACAGCAGAAGAATGTGTCGGTTAATTTTCGGAGCGTCATTTCGAATCGTGATTGCGACCAAGCTAAAAACCGCAAATTGAATCGCGGAAATATTCAGCGCACGATATGGGAAAATGAGGATGTTTGAGGATCGCTAATAATCACGGATTGACTGAATAACGGTTATTGACTGCTCACTATGCTGCGGTTAATAAATAGCGGTTTCGCAAATATTATTCTACCGTTGCTTTAATTAAAACTTGAACAGAATGAAGAGAGCTCTTTTTGCTGCACGACAGTTTCTAATTAAAATTAAAGCATTTTCTGTACTACTTGCAACGAAATAGCATAAAAGTAATTCTCCTAAGATTAGAAAGTTCTTTCTTATATATAATAACCAAAAAAAACCGTACATTTCTTACACGGAATGAACAGTTTTACTGAAGTATCTAAAAGTTTAACTAGATACGGATCTGAAAATAATTTTGTTTGAGCCATCAAAATACTTAATTATGCAGGACACTTCAACTAGCTGCTAGAAGTTAAAACTTTTTGCAAACATTGTCATCAATGTTTAAACCTTCTGCGTAATTATTCTGATGATCCAACGAAATTATTTTCAGATCTGCATCATAGTTAAATTTTTATTTCAGCAAAACTGTTCTTTCCGTATAACAATAGATATAATTTTAGATGATGATGCAAGAGAATGAGGCCGGTATTCATAGTTAGATTTTATATTCAAGACCTTAAGTGCAATCTTAAGAAGTCACGAACCAATCAAAGAGCCGTATTAGCGTCTTAAAACGGTCTTTAAATAAGAACGGACTATAAATATTGCCCTAAGAGATGTAGATTCACATTCGGATTTAAGGATCGTTTTAATATTCTCGCACTATTATACGCTCTCAAAGCACTTTTACGTCTCGAAACGAGTCGTCTTTGTTCAAAGGACTTTCAAACGGTTGTAAACGCAGATAAAATCGCACGTTTCGTCCTTGACGAAACAAGAAGATATGTAAGAATAAAATACAATATCGTCGGAACGAACGGCTTCTTTTCTTATCCACTTTAGAGCTCAGTGCATCGACGATCGGGTAAACCGACGACATTAAATCCAGCTCTCCGGTAACGTCTCGTAAAACCAGTTTTACTGAACTTCCCTGCCCACCTAGCGATTTATCGTCGACCTTTATGGCCGGCCCTTACAAGATAATCCGCGTCATGTAAAAAGTCTTGACGCATGGTGGGCATGGCGTTTACATGATAAAGCCACGTGAGCCTCGTTTCTCCCGTATTTTAAGGGGTCATTTAAAGTAGCACGAAAATGGCTGTTAATTTTGCCGAAACGTCGTTAACAAGAATTATTGCTGAAACGAGATACAGTTCTGGTTACGCGCAAGATACACGGCTATTTTTTATCTTACTTTAAGGACTTTAGGGCACATAAAACAAAAGGTGGTTCCACATCGATTAATGTTACTTCAATTATATTCGAAGTGTATAATGACAAAAAGATTGTATTAATTTAAAATAAGCATTTCAAATATTTTATATATACACAGAAAACAAACGTTCAATGAATTATACAGGGTGTCCCGAAATTCAAGGACAGTATTATTATAATGTCAAACTTCGTGAAAAATGAAGTCGAAAAGTCTTCTATCATTTTGCAATTTTCGGAATAGTTGATAAGATATTAATTATCAAATATCGCCGAATATTAGTTTTCAATAATTTTTTACTCAAGTATTATCAACTTTACAGAAAAACAGCAAGAGACAAAAATTGTTTATTTTCTTCTCATAGAGCTTTAAGAATTTTTTCAGAATTTTGTATTAATTTTCCAGTACTGCATTTTCTAATTGGAAAATTGCGAAAATTGAATGGTAGAAGACTTTTCGACTTATTATATAATTCTTCACGAAGTTTCACGCTGTAATAATATTATCCTCGAATTTCGGGATACCCTATATATACTTCTCTGTAATATCTATATAATAATAAATAATGCATTGTATCTATATTTTAAAATCATATTCAATGAAAAGTGTTCTTTGGTACTCATATGCCAAAATTCCTATTTTATGTTAATCATATGTATCTAATAAATTTAAATATTGCACTTTTTGCTTATATATATATATATATTGTTAACTGCATGGTTTGCGAATGTTTCGTAGTTCTAAAAACGAAGAAAATCAAATGTCATAAAATAAATCCAATGTTCATATTGTTATAAATTCCTTTTAACAATTGATATTTACTAGTCCAGCGGACTAGTACCAGACATTTTCAACTATTATACATTGTAAAAAATTATTTATAGCAAATGTTTTTTACAACCTTACATAATTTTAACTTTACATAAGCTTATTCCTCGAATTTTGACGTTCAAAATAAAAAAAAATTATTCAATTATATTAACTTTAAGCAAAGATACATTAATTTAAAGTACCCTGCACTTGCAAATATCAATTGAGGAAATTTCGAGCTGAATATGATTAGGATTAATTATTACGTCTCACCTCTGTTTTGTGGAGATCCACGCTGTTAAGCGCGATAGCTTCAGGTACAGGCTCTTCTTCCTCGATTTTTTCGGGAATGCCGAAGATAGATTTGTATATGAATGAGGAAATAAGGGCGCCGCCGATCGGTCCGAACCAATAGATCCACTGATGCCTCCACTGATTATTCCATAATGCAGGCGCGAACGATCTTGCAGGATTCAGGCTGCAACCGGTGTAAGGTCCGGTCGCGGTCGCTAGCACAATCACTGTTAAACCGAACTTGATCGGCACTGAGTCTGTATTTTTCTCGTTTCTTGGATCCCAAACGGAGCATACTATCATCATCAGAATAGCAGTCGCGATCCCCTCGATAATCAAGCCCTGAATTGCAGATAGATCGGCGTGCAGACCAGTCACGCAAAACATATCGGCTTGATCAATCTTACCAGGTGCAGCCGTCAGATTATCCTTCGGTGTCACCACCTATAAAAAATATATTGTCAAAATAATATTAGAGACGATACTTGCATTTTGCATTACAAATGAGATAACAGTTCTTGAATAAAATTAAACAAATTAAACAATTGCATAAAATTAAACAAATTAAACAATTGCATAAAATTAAACAAATTAAACAATTGCATAAAATTATACAAATTAAACAGTCAATTGTGTTTTTTCCTTTTATCTTATGTATATTATATATTAATATATTAATACATATGATAATAATGAATTTCATTATGAATAAAGCGAAGCAAAATAAGATTTCATTACATATAATAAATAAAACAAATGTTGTACTAATGATTAGCATTACTTTTAGTCAAACGTTTATTATATTACAAATGTATAAGGAAAACAATATATTATTTCATCATGTATAAAAATTAATTACCAATTTATTAAAAACGCTTGTTATTTATAAAAACAAATATTTTAAAATGAAAATTTAAAATATATTTGTTTTTATTTTATATCGTATGTTGTTTTACAAAATAGTATTATAAAATACTATTGGAGATGGCAGCTGTAAAAATAATGAAAACGGACAACTTCGAAGCATAAAATGTATACGAAGACTTTATTTGAAAGCAATATTCTTTTACTTTATCTTGGAACGTTTTTGCGTTTGTCTACTAACAGAATTATTCATGTTCTGCTTCATTATTTCTGTAATAGATTCATATTGTTCCCAATCACTGAACTGTAAGGAATACATTTTTCAATAATAGAAGAAAGAAAGAAAATTGTATTGCTCATTTTGCTTGCTTTATCAGAACGGCTGTGTTAATATTCTACGAGAAACAAATATCGCAACAATAAGGCTTTTCTCTGATTACACGAGAGCATTAATTATTAACTGACCCGCACGTGTACTGATTAAACAAAGGTCTTGATCCGTGTTTCATTAAGCATTGATACACGGTAATCATTAATAATTAATATCCCTATTTTATTTTTATCTCATTATGTAACCCCATAAACGTCGCCGATATATTTGCCTCGCTCAATCATTACTTTCTTTTTATTGAAATATAACCGAGTAAAATGCAAATTGAATTTTAATAAAATCCACGTTCCATGTATGTCATTCCGTCAACATTTAACTTAAAATATGACTGCGGATATTCTGAAGGTTATCAATGCGATCAAAAAATACCTCTTTATCGATTTCTATATTAAACACATAATAATTTCGCCTATTTATGTTATTATATTATCACAGCAAATTTAATCGGATCATTTTTATTTGTAAGTAAATATATACAGGGTGTTCAGCGTAACGGTCCGCACTTTTCGGACACTTTAAAAAAACAGTTTTAAAAAAAGTTGAAAGGTGAATATTTATCTGTTTCGTACAGGCTACATATGCAGACAACATATGCAATAAACAAATATTAACAAAAATTTCTTTTCATAAAAAAATCAAAGTCATCTTACATTTTTTAAATGGCGCTATACAATTTTTTTCCATAATATTGTAAGTAGATGTTCAAGACGAATTCAAATTACTATCGAAATATCACCTTTATCAATGTTGTATTAATTTTATTGCATATTTTATTAAATAAATACATAATATATATGTATAGAGTAAACCCGGTACATAAGGGAGATAAGCCGCACCTAAGGGAGATTTAATTTATCAAGTACTATTTACCATATTTAAGGCAAATAAACTATCAGTAAAAACTTCATACTTTCTACTACTATGGAAAAAATATTATATAGGAATCCGAAATATATATTAATTTTTCATACTAAAAAATTAACTTTTTGAAACCCTTACACTTTTGCCATATATTCTATAGAAGTGGGATATATGGCTACTCATAGGGGG